AAAAAATTCTTTTTTCGGTAATTGTTGTTGTTCATTTATAGCTCCAACTTAGTCAAACTAATCTAAGTTTCTAAAAAACATATAGTTTAAGGCTTATCCTTCTAATGCTATCAATTTCTAAGGACTATCAAGCATACTGCTGAATACTTATCAGTTTACATTCATCATCCTTGCAAAGCTAGACAAGGATATCAGCCTAGACACTTCCTCATTTCCAAAACAGAAATAATGCACTTCTTCTTTAAGCTGCCTAGCCAGATCCTTATGGCTTTTCTTAGCAGCGGTGAACACCTAGCTTTGCAAGGATAATGAATCACAAATATGCATTGCTTCTTTAAACTTCTTTAAATAAATGTGATGTTTCTCACATTTTTTATCTAGCTGATAAATGCCTATGTTTATGCTCACTATTTCCATTAGCTAAATCTTGCTTTGCTTTTCGTTTTGTATCATTACAGATTTTCAGATTTGTTGTAGTTTCATTTTGGTTATTGGTTGGTATGAAACCACCCACGGCGGTGACGGCTAATGACAAGTCGGCAGCTGGTGGTTCACCAGATTCCATGGGAGCACAGTGGGAGATGAGACCCGCCGACATGCTGGTTGAAAAGCGAAGCTGAGATTTCGATCACAGACTCATTCCTCCACCGACAATTAGGGTCCAGGTCAAGTGCGGGCAACCTACCACGAGACCAACATCAGAGCTCAAGCCTCCGTCGATAAAGAGAGTTGAGAAGTATGTAGAGACATTAGACATGTTGAAGGTCAAGAACTATTCTTTGATTCACTTGTCACTGTGGGTGGTCTTGGAGATTGAGTGGATGACTATTTTCGTCACTAGAGATGCTCGATCAGTCCTCCGGTGACGAGCAGAGCCTCTACGAGGTACTTCCGTTTCTCCCTTCTACCCCATCAACGATTCATGTGCTGCCTGTGATCTTAGGCCGAGTTCGCCGACTATTCATTTGATCCCTTTTTGCCTTTCTGTATAATTAGTGTTGGGGTTAGAGTCTAGACAGTGACATGCATGGTATTGTGACTGACGATCCATAATTTGTTGTCGTGGTGAAAGTTTCATGCTTGGTACTAACCACTTGACGATTATAATTGGTAATGAAATTGGGTGTGGGAGAGAACCAAATTTAGTTTCATAGTAATACATGTGTTACGCGAATGGGTTTTGGAGCGGCTGCTTATGTGAATGCTACAGCTTCAGTCCAAGATCTAAAGATGAAGAACCGGGTGGAGTCATCAAGTGATAATGGTGATAACTAGAGCATTAGATTCATGCCTGTTTGTTTCTATATGATTCATCTCGCATTGGAAGCATAGCTTCCACCCATGTGAATCTTGGTGAGGCTCTTGGGACGACAACCACTTCTGCAACTCGGCTTCTCTCTATGGGAATTAATAGAACTTTATGGTAAAAGTTGGAATATGCAACAATTCTAACAATGAGCGAGAACTGGTATTGCACAAAAAATTTCGCAATTACGTCACACATGAAATGAATTATGCATGATATTGGGCTCTATGGACACTTATTGTATGGAATTATGGATCCTCTCTCAATTAACTAAGGACCTAATTCTATCCCCCCTCCCCATTAAAATGTGACAATCTACAGGTAGCGCGAAAGTTTTGTCGGAAAAATCAGTGGTATAGTATTTTGTGCTTGAATCATTGTTTAATTGCTTCATACTGTTAAGATCACTTACCATTTAGCGTTTGATACCCGATATTTATAAGCCGATCATATGGTAGGTTACTATTTCTAAAACATTGATCTACCAAGTTTAAAGCTGAAAATAGCTCAATAACAGCAACTTGCTTCCAATTTACACTCTTTAGACCCAATTTCAAAAACACGAAATCTGTTTGCCTGCTTTAGTATATGATTCGGTGAACTACCAAGCTATAAATAGGGGTGTCATTTCGGGTCGGGTTCGGTTACCCGAACCGAAACCCGAAAAAACCCAAAAACCCGAAATCGAAAATCACTGAAACCGAACCCGATAAGGACTTGCGGGTTCCGGTTACCCAAAACCCGAAAATTCCTTATCGGGTTCGGTTAAAGCAAAACCGAAACCCGAAGCGAACCCGAAAAACCGAAAATGTATATAATCGGGGCGGTTTCGGGAACACCCCTAGCTATAAACCACTTGGAAACCACATCCATACTAATTTACTCCATTTTAGGCAAAACTAAAACCAGCTGGCGGTTGTATTAGTTTTTGTTAGGTCGGCAATTTATATATGTCTACGTTGTTCCCCACCTTTTATGTCAAGGGGTAGTATCTGGTTCCGTTAGTTCATCACATTAACTTTCTTTATGTAGGCATGGATCAACTATATATGTATGGATGGCTCTGTTGAAATTTTAGGTAAGGGTCTGTCTTGGTTACCATACAATTGGTAATTTCGTTTTTTATGTAGACCTTATTTTCATGTGACGACTACATTATTGGTATATTTTAGTTAAAGGTTTGTTTTGGTTATGATAGCACGCCATTTATATTTATGTGGATTAATGCCACTTGTATTTTTCCCTGGAATGCAATTCCCAATTCTCACCCATAATAAATATAATTTTTCATATAACTATAAATTAAAGGCTTGCATTGTTAGTAATATTAATGGTTGTTTAGTTGCTAACTAAAACTATAGTAATCAAAGTTGTTAATTTGAATGGCAGGAGGGAAAAAAGTTGATGCATGAAGCATATGGGTTATGGGTTCCTGGTTGGCTCGAGGTGGGTTGGCCCACATTTACACACTTTTAAAGATATAAGTTTGCAACGTAATGATTTGAGATTTCTGGGACAAAACAAATAAGGCTGGATTTAAGATACCATTAAGTAAATATCCAACCCCCGACTCTAGCAGGTTTCGGGAGGAGACATCCACGAGGTGGAGGCGAGCTGGTCACAGCAATCGAAGAAGATGCCTGCGAGAATGAGAAAGTATTTAATTGAGGAGGAGCCAGTTCCCTTGCAAACGATCGATGTATGGAGTTGAGGTTTGGCTGGTGCTCGATCAGATTGTCAAATTGGCTGATTTCTTCAAGTCTTACACGTAATTAAATATCGCTCCCACCATCTTCATTAGCGCAAAGCTTAAAAATGAGATTCGGGTCCCCGGCCAACGGGTCGGGTAAAAGCTAGTAATATAACTAATAACTTAAAATGTTAAAAATGACAAAATGACATGGAAAATTGTGGAGATTTCGTTGTCATACGTGGCAAAAATTTGCTCCACAACGGCCATAATATAAGTTAAGATAAGAAGCGATTGTTTGAGTGGATTAATTGTTAATATAATATTTATAGATTCAAATAATTTATTAATGTTTGATGTGATATTTCAACTGATATAATTTCACATGTGATATTTAAAATATGTGGTTTAGTTTAACCGTTCACATGTTGTATTTGACATTTTATCCTTCTTTTTTGTTTGTCATCCCAAATCGGCCTCCTACGTAAAAAAAATCCCCACAGCTCACATGCATGTTAACGCAGCTTACTGAACTAGCCATGCTCCGAGGTTAGTTTATTTTACTAGTGGTTCTTTTTTCTATCCAAGGTACGTCCAAAGTGCATAATACGGAGACTCAATTACAAGACGCACTCCAACTATAGGCCATAGTCCGTAAGGTATCGGATTGTCTATGAAAGAATATGTTTGGCCGCTGAATGAGCAGCTCCGTTGACAATATCTAGAGCAAAAAGGCACTGAAGCATGACTAAAAATATTGACCTTCCTTCGAGATCACACATGTTCGCGAGTGAGAAGCTTCCTTCGAAATAACATGTTGGATGACCAGTTGGGAGTCGCCGCTAAATGAAATGATCAAAAAGTTATGCATTAGACATCACATACATCTAAGAATAACAAAGTGTGAGAAGATCATTAATATAGACAGCAAAATGCAATATTATAAAATTTACCAATTGGAAAGGAAATTGTTCAATCACCTGAAAAGGCGACAAATTAAATTGCACCTTCTTGGTCTATCTTCATGCCCGCATCAAATCAAACGGGTCAGATTCAGTCCTTAAGTCTCATTGATTAAGGAGATTCTTAAACCATTTTTATTCGCTGATAGTAGACTTAGGGGTGGGCAATGTGCGGGTTGGATGAGTTTTGATCTCAAATTGACCCACCCACTTACTAGCGAGTTGGAATAATAGTGACCCCCAATCCACTCACCTTCTTCTGCAAGTTGGGTTGGATGGGTGGCGGATGGGTGCAGTTGGGTCGCGGGTCAACCCACAAAAGCAATTCTCCAACTAGCAACTGAAAAAGTTGAATAACATTTATAATAAATTCATAACAAATTAGTAAAACTGTATCAATTTAGACACTTTTCAATTTGTCTCAAGTGAATCCATGAAACATCCCACCTCTTTGAACTTGGAAAAAGACCTTTCTACCCTGGGGTATAATTAGAAATCTCAAATACACAACTTTAAATAAAATACCGAACTCAAATATCTCAATATCTCAAATCGAAGCCCTAAACACGTGGGCAAAACTCAAATTGTCCAAAAGAAATGAATCTCCAATCTTTAACTCTTAACCATAAAGTCTTAATAACTTGAAAAAGGTCTCCGATGCTTACTCTGACGCCTGGCTCGAGTTCTCTCAGCGACGCTGGTGTTGAGCTCCTCTAGCTTGCTGATCACGGACTGGCTGGTTAGGATTTCCTCCCCTACGATCTGGTGAGTGAGTTTGGGTCAGTCTACGCCTTTATGTTAAAATCTATAGTACTTTAGTATTCTTCTCTAAACACTTAGCTTCTACTAGTGGAAGTCATTTTGTACTTCCATTCTTAACAATCTCAACTCATAAAATTCTTCGGGAGTTAAAATTACTCTCCCTTCTTAAGCTCAAAACTTGACTTAAATCTTTTGACTGACACGGGGATCCCTCACTAGCTAGTCCGGTTGCCCAACTCATACGGATGAGAAGCCATCCGCGCTCGCATACAGCCAAGGAGACTGTTCGCTATCCTTCGAATGAGCCCCACCTCTCGACCCGCAGCCGAATGATTTGTCGTCCGCGCGAGGTCGTGTATTCGCTCGATGCCATCAACCTAAATCGAAGAAAATAACAAAGTGAGCCATTTAAAAAGTAATGCACCGCATGACTACATAAATAAAAAATGAATTACTTACCAAAGCTCCGTCCGCCGCACCTTCGGGAGTCATGTACCGAACAGATTATCTTCGGTATGTTTCCATGTACGGGTCATGGTAGCCCATCCGCCCCACATGAGATCCCGTCACAATATCCTGATCTTGCCTAACATTCCACAGGCAGATCAATTTCGAATACTCCTCCGTCCAATTAGTAGGTCCTTGTCGGCCATCTTTCCCATGGTACCCCTTCTGACTCTCCGGGACATTCAATGGTAGGCATTGCTCACGTCCAAATGGTCGTAGACATCGATCCGGCAAGTGCCACTCCACTATATGGTGGCAGATTAGTGGAACTTGGGTGCACCATTGACCGGGACGTAAAGGGAACTTGTGGACGTGATGCACCTCAATGCGTTCTGGATACGGATCGAACTTAAGCTACGAAAGTGCATAAAAACTAGACCATTAATATACATAATAATATAAGTTGAAAAAAAAGTAGGAATTAATAGCGTATTATGATGCTCACCTCTGATTCCCAAAGGTGATCTAGCCTCCTACGATACTCCTCCAACTTATGCGCTCCAAGGCTGTCGCATGTTTTTTCACCAAGCCACATATTCAATCCAAAAAGTATGGGGTGTTAATACATAATAGTGTTTCTCATTAAAAAATACCCAATTAGTAAAAAAAGGTGAGAACTATGAGTGGGATAGAAAACATAAACCTACAACCATAAGCTTCATGTCGTAGAGGATGGTCGGGACCCCATTCCTTGTCGGGGTCTACCTTCGGCGCAATCCATGGCAAATGTTCCCAAGCCCAAAATTGGACGATGAACATGGCCCCATCAATCTCCTTCACCGCTCTCGCACTAGCATTACAGAGGGATCGGTAAAGATGAGCTAGGCAAGCAGATGCCCAGCTCAGGTTTCCCATATCATCCCAACTCCCAAGTATGATCTTCAACCATGAATTGCTGATTAGGTTGTTGGATTTCTTGGGGAAGAAAACTCCTTCGATCATGCCGAGGATGCAGATACGTGCATAAATGTCTTTATCACGCTCCGAACTTTCCTCTGTGAGGGGAATGCCTCCTGACTCAGGGTTGTGCTTACGCCTAATCTCCGATGTCAACCACGTGATGGATACTTGGCCCTTGGACAATGGTGAATGACCATCTGCATCGTGATCTCCCCTTTTCTGGCGGACACAACCCGGTGACCGTCCAAATAAAATGCTGCCAACCACTCATATTGACAACAACTTTAGGCGGTGGCGTAGAGTCCACACAAACAACATCACCATCGATGGGCAAATCAGTTAGGATGGCGATGTCCTTAAGTGTGATGGTGCACTCGCCTTCACGAAAATTGAAGCAGTGTGTCTCCTTTCGCCATCTTTCTACCAATGCAGTGATGAGCTGGCGGTCGATCTTGATTCCATTAAAATGCCTAATCGAATCAATTCTTGCCCTTTTTAGAAAGGGCAAGATGACGTCGTTCCATTCAAGCACATGCGTCGTGCCCCTATAGCAGACTATATGGTATGCATCCTAGAGAAGAATTTAAATTTCACTATAAGTTGATGATTTATACATATATAAATATATTATAAGATGCAATATTAATTAAGTCAAGGTACATTATCTAATAAACATTAATTTTAACATAACTAAATAATATTATAAGATGCAATATTAATTAAATCAAGGTACATTATCTAATAAACATAATTTTAACATAACTCAATAATATTATAAGATGCAATATTAATTAAATCAAGGTACATTATCTAATAAACATAATTTTAACATAACTTACTTAATTTTTGAAATTTAAGTATAATTGTTTTTGGTACATATACACATAAAATCAAATATACTATTTTATTAATCGTATTGATTATTTTCAATAATTTAAAGCAATACAAGTACACTCGTAAGACTCTTAGGAGAGGTATACATCTCCTTAGAAACAAAGTCTTTTTGACAGAAAAAGGGGGATCCGAGGATCGCTTAGAACCCGATTTTCCCAGGTCATGGGGGGATCATGATGATCGCTTAACTCCCCAACAGTCAACCACGATACGACGCGGATCGCCCCTCTGGCGTGCGGTTTGGCAGTCGGATCGCTTCTCCATCCGGCGGTTGCATGTACCTCCACGTGGCAACGCGGTTTGACAGCCAGCTAGACTCAAACCGCGCCTCCAAGGCGCGTTGTGCTCTGTAACCGCGCCTTGGAGGCGCGTTTTGTTTGTTAACCGCTCCTTCGGGGTGCGTTTTGTATGGAAGGATGGTATTTTTGGAAATTGTTGGGTATGTGTGGTATTTTTGTAAATTGTTTTTTTATGGTGGTACTTTTGGATTTTTTTCCATATAATTTACCGAAATACAAAAAAAAAACTAACAAATAAAAAAATCCATACGAGACATGCAGATGACATTGGGAAGGAAAAGTTCAACTCATGCAGCATTCCACCTTATAATTTGAGAGAATGAATGTGTTTTTTAATAAATAAAAAAAGAAGAAACTAATGCTAGCTTAAAAAGACTATTGGCGCACCAAAAAAGAGGTGAAAAGCTCATTTTCCGGGAAGCGGAGAGACAGCCCAGCATCTCAACTCCTGTGCACTTTTCGAATACCGTACTAATTCATTCAATATGGGATTTGATAGCTTAGAACAGGCTGACCGGGTTGAATGGTTTTGGCGGTTAATTGTTCAAACTGTTAACGAGCCGACCAATTCAACCGTAGCGTTTTTTAACTGTTCCGATCCGGGCTGGTGATCGGGTCCCGGTTTTACCGGTCCGACCGACCGGCTCGGCTCGGTTTTGACAGCACTGTGTATTTGAGATTTTTAATTATACCTTGGGGTAGAAATGTCTTTTTCCAAGTTCAAAGAGGTGGGATGTTTCAATCCATGTAGTATTTGCATCAAAATCTTACTACTCTATCAACCAACTGTGTAGAGAAAACCTACGCAATTTGTGATTTTGTTACAATTAATAATTTATAGTTTGCATCCCAATATTTAATGGATATTAACAAAACTTTGCATCCCAATATGCAATATCCAATATCTAATGGATATTGCACAACACAATCACCAATAATAATAGTCAAAACTATTCTTTATTCTCCACCTTTTGAAGTATATGGTTAGACTGTAGTGTGGTTCGAAAATATGATGAATATTCGATACTATAAGAAACAAAAAAAAAATCATGTGAAAATAGGATGTGGGTCATACGGGTGACCTGCAATCCACCCACCACCTAGGGGTGTTCAAATGGTTACCATGGTTATAACCAAACCAAATAAGGATAAATTCCATTAACCATGGAATACAATATCATAACCAAACCGTCCAAACTAATACAACAACCAAATTAACCAAACTAAAGTTTAATCGGTTTGGTTAATTGGTTAATCAGATTAACCAATATAAAATCACATTATCATTGACGATGAAAATTTTCCAGTTAATGCAACAATTCGCAATTTATATAATGAATAAAATATAACAATCAACACGTAGTTATAGTTGACCCAAAAATACATGCAACTAAGACAATTATCTTACGATTAGTATAGAAGTATTCACCTAACAAAAATTTATGACAATGGTATGGGTTAAGAAATTGTTGTGTTTGTGTAAATTGATTTAGTCTCTTAGCAATTATCATAGGCTGGAAATGACCTTCCTTTCAAGTTTTCATCCATCATAATGTATGAAATTTATCTAAATTAGGCGTCCATATGTTGTGGTCTACATTTTAAATATACAAATATACACTATATGAGCAATATTGAGCTTTATATTTTATGAGTCTAAAAGGGATGAACGTTAACTCTTGAGTGGTTATGCAAAGTATTAAGTATGTGTATATAATATACTAGTGTTTTATCCGGCCCGTTGGCCGGTTTGTGGTCATTTGGATATTTTTTTAGTTAAACGTAGGTGGTTCGATTTTTAGTATTGTGCACTGATGGTACAAAAGAGTACTTTGATAGTTTATGTTTTTTAGTGCCCGTTAACTTTATAATTTTAATGAATTTGTATTTCATTTTATACTTAACTATAAGAAATTTAAGCTAGACAACGAATGAAATTAAAAATTATCTGAAATCTTTATTCATGCCTTCAGATATTAAACATCACTAAATCAAAAAAAAATCAACAAAATTTTTTATCTTCGTTATATGTGAATAATTACCTTGCAAATGAAGCTTTGAAAATTTTATTACTACTTTAATTTAAATATAGTTGATTGCCATCTATTGAATTAAAAAGTAAATAATGTACATAATATTACTATAGATGTATTACATTTAAATAGTTTAAAGATACAAAAATTCGAGGAGAAAAAAATGTGATATGGAAATAGATTATTTGGACAATTATGTAAAGCAAATCCAAAAATATTAGTATAGATGTATTAAATTTATATTTTTGAAAGAGACAAAAATGAAAAATATTAGCAAAAGAATATTTTGACTTGAAATGACCTTTTTAAGTTATTCAATCATTTGAACTTTAGTTATCATAATTCAAGCTTAACCTTTAAAAATATGCTCATATTTTTAAAAAATTTATTGACTATGTCCTATATTTTCCAAAGCGGAGCGGTTGTCGGATGAAAATTTTCAATGACTCATGATTAATGGATTATCATTAAACAACTATTTTTTAATCGTTAATGGAACTCTTCAGATGTAAATAACAGCGTAGTTAGGTTGAAGAAGCATTTAAGTTATTCCATTGGACCATATTTTACGTTTAATAATTTTTTCATAAAAAATATCTCGACTTTAAGCAATTACATAGAGTAAAAAAATTGATTTTTTTTGTTTGATCTAATTCGACACAAATATCGAGTCGGTACGATATGGATCGAATTATTGTTTAACCTACCACTAAACATGTGATCTTACCTTTCAAAGTTTAATGTAAAAATTAGACATGCTAATTTAAAAATTAAAAGAATTTAAAACAATATAAATTGATTGTATTTTGCCAAGATTTCCCGTATTTCTTCCTCTTCATGTTTGCCGAAATCGCTGTGAAATTAAGATTCTAAAACTTTTGAAGGTTGATGCTTGGTTTATCTGTTTAACGTAAAAATCCTAATGCGAAAAAACCTATTCCGAAGTAACCTCTTCCCAAACATCCACGCCACAACAATATATCATCTTTATCATCTCAAAATCCAATTCGCAAGCATTATCTCATTTAGGAGTTAAACAACTTTAGTTAGCCTCTGTTTTTTCCTTAACCACAAAATAAATATACACAGAGGAAAATTCAAATAATTATTATGTAGCATTTACCTTAAAACAAATCTTCATTTTCCTTAATCCTAATCGCATTTACTGGGGAAAAAAACCAAAAGTCCAATAATAATGAGTGACCCTTGAGTG